GTCCGGAGGCCGAGCAGCCGCCCCGCTTTCGCATTTGCGGACGAGAAATACGCCCGGCTGGGATTCTGGCAAGCGCCGCTCCCTTGGAAAAGCAGCCAAGTCAGGGAGTTGATCCGTGAGGGGTGAATTAATAAAAGAGAACCGAGCCAGGATCAAAGTCCAGATTGGCAGCGCTCTCTGGCTTCTGCCGGCTCCGTTTGGCATCCGGGACGCGGTGGTTGCCATTGAAAGGCGGCAGCTGGGTGGAAAAACAGGGAAATGTTGGCAGTTGATGGCGATTAGTTTGAAGGCTTCAAGGACGGTGGAATCTGTTCACCATCCAAATCCAATTTCCTTTGGATTTGGCGACACCCAGCTGGCAAGTGAATTTTAATTGGCATCATTCCTTCTTTTCTCTGTTTTTCTTTCGGACACCGCCTCCATCCTATTAAAACCACCTTCCTCCTCTTCTTCCGGCTCTTCCTCCTCCTCTTTGGATCTCTTCCAAGAGGCCCATGGGTCACGTGGAGGAAATCTCACACGTGCATAGTTAAAAAAAAATCACACCTATAGGAAATGAGCAGGTCAACCTTGGGGTGCCAACGCTTCATGTCTGAGTAATGAGTAATGATCCCTGAGTAATGCAGGGGTCATTACTCAGACACTAGGAGAAATAGGACCATGGCACCGGGATGTTTCAGCACCTTTGCAATCGTGGAAGGGTCCTCAAAGATCATCTAGTCCAACCCCGGTTCGTTGTGGGTTCCGCTTGGCCTCTTTTCAGTTGAATGAAACAGAAAGAATTAGGGTTAAGGAGAGGATCCTGGAGGGTTTTGGTAGCTGGGCACATGTGCTTAAAGACATGTGCAGAGGCATCTTGTCATGCTCTTATCCAATGCACGCCTGGCCATCCGCCGCTCGGAAAAGCCGCTGGCGTTTTCTGCGCCCCTTTTCTGGAGTCGGAAATGCTTTGGGGCACATCTGGTTCTCTCCCACAGCCTGTACCCCTGGCACCTTTGGCCCGGACTGTGCTCGCATTTGCCAGTGCGCCGGCATGAACCACGACTGCCACCCGGTGACCGGGAAATGCCTCTGCGCCCCGGGATACCACGGCAGCGGCTGTCAGCAGAGTGAGTTTCCAGGAGGGTGCGAGTGGGGAATGGATTTGGGAGTGCCACGGCAGGGAAGGGGGAGAACCCCCCATGGGGAGCAAAGATGGAATCCTTGTGGCACAGGACTTTAATATGCTGGCCAGAAGCCGAGCAGGAAAGACTGGGGGAAGGAAACTGAAAGGTTTGGGGCCCCCAAAATTGAATCCAGCATCCAGAGGCAAAAAACCTAATCCCACGACGGGAAAACTGTCCAATTGCTTTTTAAATTTGGCATGACAAATG